AATCCTGACAACCAGGCCAGTCTAGGCCAACCCCAAGAACCCCACAGGTTCCGTGTTTCACAACCAATAGAAAGATCATCAACTTTGCCATCTTATCAATCCAAATGGAAGTTGGATGATTCTCTAATTATATTGATAGACTCTCAGGTCAGAGCCTCAGATCATCACATAGACATGGGCATCTGCAGTAAGATATGCTTCCAGTTAGAGGGAAAGAAGTCAGCCCTAAAGGGACCATGTGGCCTAATCATGGGAAATGGGCAACTTCCACATAACTGCTAGAACATTTAGGAACAGTTCAAGTGTTCCCACACTATCCTGAGGAATCCCCATCTTTGTGGGTTTGTGTATGAAGCTCTCCTGGGGTGGTCAGCTGCCAGGATGCAGAGCAGAAAGCTCACTGGTCAGCAGGTAACTGTTTAGCAATGTTCCCTAGGTCCAAATTCTGATCAGTCAGCCCATAAACACTATGTTCATTTGCAGCTTCTGGTAAGTATTAGCATGCCAAAGAGAGTGGCACACTTTCAGTGCCCTCTGGTGTCAAGCAAGGACCAACAGGCTATAATCAATATCACCACCAAGTCCTGTGGTCCATACTGAATGTACCATCAGAAGGATGCAAGCAGGGCCAGGCTGCTGGCCATACCTAAGTCGTGTGGCTCAGACCCTGCCATGAGAAGAATCTGAAAGCTGACTGAGGCCAACCAAGGTACAGGCACTTTGATGTGCATCTAGAGTTCAGTTAAGGGTGACTAGCATATGAACACCCCAGAAGCTTACCATGCCCAGAAAATTCAGTGTCATTCTGCCAGTCTGTATACTCAGAGAGACCACAGACATTTAACTAAAAGTTAGAATTCTGCCCTTAAAGGTAGTCCCAGCTGTGCACTTTGAGAAACTATCTGCTAAGAACTAGCAGAAGTCAGAGCCAGGTGGCCACTGAGTCACTCTGGACCCTTGGGCAGCCCATGAAGAATGGCCCAGAAGCTTCAGTTCAGCCTCCCATCTCCCTGCCTTCACTCCATGCTGGGTGGAGATTTTAAGCTTGTTCTTGGGAAAGGCACATTCTGATGAATATCTTTCTTTCCACCCAAGTGGGTTAAGTACCACATTTCTCCCTGTGGATGGTGGTACATGAGGTCCAGACTATGCTATTTAAAAGCATAGGTTTGTCAACTGAGGCTGAAGTTTGATTTATATAGATAGGGATGGATTTATACTCATAGGCTGAATTGTCATATCCTAAAACTTATATGTTGAAGTCCTAATCCTCAGCCCCCTAGAATGTGATCTTATTTGGAAATAGGGTCATTGCAGATGTGGTTAGTTAAGATGAGAACACAGCAGAATAAGGTGAGCCCTAATCCCAAATGACTATGTCATTTTAAAGGAGAAATTTGGAGACAAAAACAAATACAAAGGGAAGATGATGTAAAGAGATGTAGGGTTAACACAGCCATCTATAAATCTAGTCCTCAGAGGAAMTAGCCCTGCTGAGACCTTGATTTGGGATCTCCAGTCTCCAGAACTGTGAGACAAATGGTCTATTTCTTAAGTCAATTTGTGGGATTTGTTACAGCAGCCTAAGCAGACTCATACACTCTGGGCAGGAATGAATACACCCCTGCTCCATGACTCGAGGTATATATTGGGGAACAGTGTCGTGCACAGCACACAAGGCTTGGGTTCAGCCACCTCTAGTCACTATCAAAACAGGGATCCCCAAAGACCTCAAAACTAGGAGATTTCTAAAGAGTAGATGCTTGCCTTACAGCATTTTCTTGTTATTAGTTTTTTTTTAATTTAGAAGTAAAGAATTTGATTGATTTATAGTTACAATGAAATATAAAAGTAAATATGTAAGTTCATGTGGAAAATCCTGGCTCACAGCCACTGGACACTTGATGAGATTTTCAGGAACTATCCAGGAAGACTCCTGAGGGCGTCTTCAACTGTCATTGACTTGCCAGAAATGAACATGTCCTGACCTTGACCCAGAAGCCCTGCTCTAGGAAACATACTCAAGAGAACCAGGATTGGTCCTGCCTGCACCAGGATGTATCCTTCCTGCATCACAACGTCATTCATGACAGTAAGAACTGGGAAGAACTTTAAGGCCCAACATAAGGAAATGTTTCAATAACTGATGAACTATCATACAATAAAACCATTAAATAGAAAGACCATAGAGCAACTTTTGAAGTATTGAACCTCAATGTTAAATGGAAAAAAAGACTAAGATTTTAATTATGCAAGGTAATTATATTATCTTACATATGCCTGATGACAAGAAAAGACCACCAATGTAGCAGATGAATTAGTGCAAAGGAATCTTAGATGTTTTTAAAAGAAATTTTCACATAGTTATAGTGCTGCTTGTATAATAAATTAAAATCAAGAGGAAAAATCAGAGTGGCATTAAAGTAATTCTAAAAACATGCTTCTCTATAAACTAATTTTTCCCAACAATAGAATTTTAACACTCTAGATATGAGAAAGTGATGGATATTATTCATTCATTGTACCATTTAATTTTTTTCCTGTTTGAAATTTCCATAATAGAATGTTTTTTAAAGAAATTATAATCCTAAAATAATAAAATAGAAAATGGATATGCTTCCTTCCGCTTACAAATAGTGCCTGGTTCTTATTCGCTAAGGAAACATTTATTTGAGGCCATTTGTTCCCTTGGTCAGATTGGTTGTTCTGTGGTTTATGCCAACACCCATTTCCATAATGTAAAAGAATTCACAGATCATCACTGAAAAGCAGAAGGAAGCTATGAAAAGTGGGTCAGTTTAAAGACATTTACCCAGAGGGGCCTGGCCTCAATATTTCCACTGCAATTGATTAAGAGATGCAAACATAATCACAGAGTATACCCGCTGGGCTTCTGCTCTAACCCAATCATGCAAATCAGATATCTACAGCTACCCTCACCTCTCCTGCCCCTCATAATCCCTGGCTCATGTCCCAGAGGTCTGCTACCCTGCCAACCACTATGGTCCAGGAAGAAAACATCCCCCACTCATGCTAATCATCACTGCCAGCACATTGCATGGAGTAACCACTCAATCTTTGCAAACAAATTAATCTCATAGGAAAGAAAACCCAACCAAGAAATTTGCCTACATAAGTCAACTAGTGAGTGACAGAGCTGGGATGTGCACGCTGTCAGGCGACTCCAAATTCTACACAAATTCTTGGGTTGTTTCTACTCTGTTGCTATTGTAAGCCATGTCATAATAAATAAACTTGTAACAAATACCATTTTCATTGTGTGTGTGAACATCTGTAGACATATTCCCAGAAAAGTGTTTATTAAATGTTTTATTGCATATTTGGTTGATTTTCTCAGAACTGACTCCAATTCCTTGAAGACAGGGCACACATTTGTACTGTTCACCCAGTAGAGATACAATAAGTTTTTACTGTATTCTATCCTTCCTTTATTCATTTAACAAATATTTATTGAACACTTGCTGTGTTCCAGGTACTCTTCTGTGTACTGGGGAGTGTGCTGGTAAACAAGTCAGAAAAATGTCCAGCTCTCATGGATCTTACAAACTAGTGCAAGATCCAGAGGTAATTAACAAGCAAGTAAATATGTAGTGTATTATAAATGATGAATACTGAAGAGAAAAATAAGATGAAGAAGCATAGGGCATAGGACTTATCATTTTATAAAAGCAGACATCAAATAAATAAATTAGCAAAATATTTCTGATAAGGATATTTCCCTTATACCAATAATAATTATGAAAAATTTTTAAACAAATCAGGTGTCCAATAATAGGGAGTAGATAGTCCAGATACCTTACCTTCACTGAGCTATTGAACTTAATGAGTTGACATATATAAAACAGAAAGAACGGTGTTTGGGAATCCAGCTTCCCCCTTAGAATGTCCTTTCATGGGAAAATAGGCTTAGTTCCCCAAAACAAACTTCCATGTTTAATATACTGTACTTAAATGGAAAACCACCTATACACGCACCAATGTGCTAACAATTCATCAAAAGTGGAAGTCCCATTTGTTCATTCCTGACCTTACAATTCTTGTACAATCTAATTTCAATTGAAATCATTCTAATCCTGATACCATATGAAAAGAAAACATCTCCTTTAATATTTGTTCTATTGTGAGAAAGAGAGGAAGGATCTTCAGCAACATGATTAAATTCCATGTCAATTACTGAATTTCTGCAACAGAAGAATTCATCCACAGAAAAACCTAATCTGATAAGTGTGAACCTTAAAGTCAAAAATAATACAGAAACAGTATGGCAGAACTACTACTGAAAACGACATCACTAAGTATTAAAGTTTACCTGGTGGCATCAGGTATAAAGGGTAACTAATCATAATAATAAGTGATTGAGTTCTACTTTATTAAAATACAAATCTATGGGACCTTTACGTAAATGTTCACACAAATTTGGTTTGAGTAATTTCATTAATCTCCTTAGGAGAGCCTTGTTGATGTAACTAAAATATAATTCTAAAAAAAAATGTGTAACTTAACACTATAAATAAGACATTTAAAAAATTAATTTTTTAATGTCTTATTTATAGTGTTAAGTTCATGTTTCTTGCAAAGCCCTGTTTACACACACTTTGCATGGACTCATGCCTTAGAAACACTGATCTTAATATTTCTATCTATGCATTAAATACATTTGATGCCTTGTAAACCAGATGATTTCCAGTTCATCTTTTATAATAAGTATCCAAAACACCAACTAGAGTTTAAAGTGCATTGTTATATTTGGAGGAAATTTTTTCTAAATTAGCCCTTTTTTGATAAGATTCTAGTGTCTAAATATTATGCTGGTCATTAGAATTCAGCTACTTTGTCCCTTAGGGCAAGTTCGGTTGTAAAATCATCTGACTTTCCCAAATCCCTTGCAGGGTGAACATTTGCACCTGCCAGGGAAGACATACCTTGGTCCCTCTCCAACCCCCACTGGAGCCCTCTGGAGAACCAAGGCAAGCACTCACCGGGTGCCGGAGTCTGCAGAGCCAGTTTTTCCACAGCAGGGCTTGGAACTGGTGCCTCCTGTGCCCCATCCCTGMTGCTCCTTGCTCTTTGGGGAGCTCAGCCTTTTAGGACAGTGTTTCTATCTGCTGGGGCTCGGGCGGAGGCATGTTGCCTATTAGTCAATTGTAACAAAAGTGAGTGACGCAAGAGAGATTACTGGTGACTGAATAAAGCAGGCATCAAATGTCCCCTCATGCTCTGTGTCTGCCGAGAAATCTTTTCTCTAGCTGTTCTGTTTTGGGGAGGGTTAGATTCCAGAAGTCTGCCTTCTGGGTCCTTCCTGGGTAAAAAAAGGATGCAAGCCTACACTTTCCAAAAATCCCACACATCTGGTGCACACTGGGAGAAGTGAGGGCCACATTCCCAATTGACCTCTTTTTCCCCTTGATGTTAAGTGGAAGGAATTATTCCTCATCTTTCCTGAAATGTCAGTTATCACACTAATTGACCAAAATATTTCCATTTTGGTGGTCCCACAGCAGAGACTTGGAAAAGAAAAAGATGGAAGCAGTCAGTCTTGCAGAGGTTGTGGGATGGGTGGCTCAAGATCCGTGTTGCTGCTGCACCCTCACTTCTTACTCTGCTCTCATCATTTCCCTCCAGGAGGCTGGGACATGTTTCAGAGTGCAGGGAAAGAAGAACAAGGACAATCTGGAAGGTGCTGGGAGCAGGCATGGCAGGACTCAGCAAGCCCATCGGTTGCCTCTGAGCCCTGTATGATTCCTGCACACCTGGAATAATGGATGTGGCTGGGTGCTAGGGGCCCCATCGTTCTGGAAGCCAGTCCTTCCTGACTTCCTGTGGCTCCCCACTGTGGTCAGAAGGCCCTCAGGCAACCTAACCTTGTGGTCTTCCATTTCATAAAGCATTTTCACAAGCTGTGAAATGCTCTATACATGCCTTTTGCAATAGGAAACAGAGATACCCAGGCTTCAGCAAAGGGATTGACTCAATCATTCTGTAAATGTACTTTTTAAAAGAACATCAATTTAATTTTATTTTGATGCTTATTACATAATTTTAGTCAACGAGTCAGAGTAAAGATCATTACTTGGTGAGGTGGCRCCCAGCATACAGAAAGCGGGTTTTTCTGATCCCCTTAGGATACTCTCCCTTGACCCTTGTCTCCTCAAAGGCCTGGTAGGGTCACCTAAGTATTACCACCATGGCTTTCTTAGCAGATAATATGTAGAACACTATACATCACAGGTGGATGTCATGATTTTTTTTTGAAACAGAACCAATAGGTGATTATAAGGAATTGGCTCACACAGTTATGGAGATGGACAAGTTTCAACATCTGAGGAGTCAACAAGTTAGAAACACAGGAGAGTCAAGAGTGTAGTTCCTGCCTAAGGACCAGCAGTTTCAAGACCCAGGAGGAGCTGATGTTTCTGTTTGAGCTTCAAAGTTGATGTCCCAGTGTGCTGACCATCAGAGAGGGGAAGGGTAATTCTTTCTTAAACAGGGGATGGTCCGCTTTTTGTTCTCTTTAGGAGTTTGACTGACTGAATGAGACAAATCCCATTGGGGAGGATCACCTGCTATTCTTGGTCTCCCTACATAAATGTCGATCTCATCCAAAACAACTTCATAGAAACTCCCAGATGATATCTGACCTAGTATCTTGGCACCCTGTAGCTTAACCAAGTTGGTACATTAAATTAGCCATTGCAAATCTGCCCTTGTCAACTGGGCACCAAATGTATCTCCTTAAACCATACTCAATCTCCAAAGACAATAAATAAAGGTCATGATTCCACCTAACATAATACCAGTATCCTATATGCAACTATAAACATAATTGCCCCATGCTCCAGAAAAAAGTGAAATCTCTTTGAATAAAATTTACTCTTTTCTTTGATAATCTATAACTTAAATACTCTCATATAAAAGTTGAAAATACTTAAATACTATGATATGATTACATCTCATTACATGATAAGGTGAAAGGAGGGAGGAGAAAAATATATTTGCTATTTACACAGACATGCTCACAACAAAATAAGAAAGGAAAATCCTCATTGCTATAGCTAGTCCTGCAATCACAGTTGATATTTGTAGTCACCTTTTGTGGCTTCCCTATTCCCATTCCCTTCAGCAAACACCTAAAAGACTGTTTGGCTTCTTTACCTGGGGGGTGTGACCCATACCTTCATTCCTGAAGGCCATTAGAGTCCTGTCTGGATTAGTTTGTTATAGATTTTCACTGACTTATCACAGGCAATGGTAATACTAAGAGTTGCCCTAAGGAAGCACCTGTATTCCAGACATTCTCCTCCTTACCTCCATTGTAGCTTTGTTTCACAGTTACATTATGGTAACTGGACTCATCTTGTCTTGTAGGTCTTAACTACAAATCCATTCAACATTGCAATATCCCTAAGTTTTTAAATATCTCCCTCTGCATTAAACCAAGGCAGATCTGGTATTTATAATTTGTTCACTGTATCTTTGCTCCATGTTTCAACCAACCAACCAACCTGTTAGAGTCCTTCCTAACTCCCTGAGCTGCAACATTAAATGAAGAGTTTATATCAATAAATTTAGTGAGTCCATCTCAATAAATTTGGTTTTGAATCCCAGTTTATCTTCCTTCCACTATTATCCCATATCCTGAATATTCACTTCTACACATGTTCCTTTGATTTCTGTCCAGGTAAGTTAGAAAACTTGAGTTGTCTTTTTGGAATGAAGCACACCTTCTCTTGGGTTGCAATTTTACCTCACCTTGTAGGATCAGATAGGACTTGATTATAGTTGTAGTTCTAGACAAAAAGAGGAATGATAGGAGGTTAGTCCTGAGGAGAAACACTATTGTCTTACTGGAGGGATGAGGCCATCACAAGTTTCCTTAGGCAAAATCCAGGGTTAACCCACTCAGAAGTGGGGGTAGGAGTCACTTCTAGTGGAATTTGGGAGACCTCATCCACTGGCAAAGAATACACTTCATTTAAAGGCACAGTGTCCTCCCATTCCAATGCTCTGGGTCTTACTCCTTTCCAGTTGGTACTCACACTTGAACAGCAAATATCCTGCAAAGGCTAAGGGTTCGATTTACTTTGTACTTCACCCAGTTACAGGATGATGTTCTGTGTTTTTCAGCAATCTAATCCTGTAACTGCAGAAGATAAGGGTCTCTTTAAGGGAACACAAGATTTCACTTATATAACACTTAAGCTGGGAATTTGATCATTGAATTAGTCCATTTATTTTCCCACCTTGTCTAGTAATATTAGGAACAACAAGATAATCTTGTTATACTTGTTAGCTTGATGAAAAGCTTTAAAAGCATCAAATACACTTGCTTAGACCCTTGTTTCTCAGTTTCTCATAAGTATATGATGAGGAATGTCTGATGTGGATATTTGTACATTGTCATTGCCAGATCATGAGATGGACTATGGAAATGGAATCATTAGCATTTTTTTTTTGGTGGTGCTGGGGGTTGAACCCAGAGCCTTGTGCATACAACTGAGCTATATCCTCAGCCTCTCATTAGCATTTTTAAATCTAATCATATTAGAGATCCAATTCCATAAACCCCAGAACATATTCAGAAAAATCATCCTTAAAATTCTGTTCCTCTAGAATCTTTCTCAGTACCAATATCTATACTATTCAGAGTTCTCAAAAGAAACATAATTATATACATATATTTGTATAGAGAGATTCACTATAAGTAATTAGATAAAGCAATCATGGAGCTGAGAAAGTCCCAAGATCAGCAAGATAATGCAGAGTAACTCTGCAAGTTAGAGAATAGGAGAGCTAACAGTGTAGCTCCCACCTAAAGGCCAGCAGGTCCAGACCAATGAAAAGTCAATGTTTCAGTTCAAACCTGAAAGCAAGGGGGAAAAAATGAAAAACAAAAACAAAACAAACAAATAAAACCCTGAGATCTCATTTACTGGAGATTGAGCTCAGTTGCACTCAACCACTGAGCCACATCCCCAGCCCTATTTTGTATTTTATTTAGAGATAGGGTCTCTCTGAGTTGCTTAGGGTCTCATCATTGCTGAGTCTGGCTTTGAACTCACAATCCTCTTGCTTTAGCTTCCTGAGCCACTGGCATTACAGGTGTGTACCACTGCACCTAGCTCCATGGCATTTCTGATGACTAATTTTTTGTGTTGTTTTGATTGAACCACATTGTGTTCAGATATTTAGCCAAACATTATTCTAGGTGTATTAGTACATTGAATACAGTAGATCATTCTACAAAAAAAAAAAAAAAAAAAAAAAAAAAAACACTGAGGTCTCATTTCAAAGACCATCAAGACTATCCGGCAGGAAGAATTCTCTTTTATTTAGGGAAAGGGCTGTCTTTTGTTCTAGTTAGGCTTTCAATTGATTAAATGATAACCACCTGCATTAGGGAGAACTATTATATTCAATCTACTAATTCAAATATTAGTCTCATTTAAAACACCTTCATAGATACACCTAGAATAATGTTTGGCCAAATATCTGGGCACAATGTGGTCCAATCCAGACAACATAAAAAATTAGTCATCAGAAGTGCCATGGAGCTAAGTGCAGTGGTACACACCTGTAATGCCAGTGGCTCAGGAGGCTAAAGCAGGAGGATCATGAGTTCAAAGCCAGCCTCAGCAATGGTGAGACCCTAAGCAACTCAGTGAGATCCTGTCTCTAAATAAATTCAAAATAGGGCTGGGGATGTGACTCAGTGTTCAAGTGCCCCTGAACTCAATCTCCAGTAAATCTCCCTCTCCCACAAAAAAAAAAAAAAGTCATGGATTTAAAATTCACATTGCAATTATACCAGTTAGGATGAGGTTGTTATCCATAACCATTTTTCAAGATTCAAAATAGGTAATATTAAACAAAATGTCCCTATGGCCCTGCAATTCCACTCCTAGATATGTGCCCTGAAGGACTGAAAACTGGGACTCAAGTAGATGCACATAAATAATTATAGCTAAACTATTTATAATAGCTAAAAGTGGGAAACAACCCAAGTGTCCATCAATAAATGAATGGATAAACAAAATATGATCTACCCATA